AACTCCCAAGCATTCAAAGGGCAGAATACTATCTCAGACAAGGAGAGATTTTGCCATTGGGTCTTACTTAACTAGACGGGTTTTATCTGAGGATTTTGTTGTTACAGCATATCCTTGAAGATCATCTTGTTTAATTGTTGGGAAAATTGTTGCTGTAGGCTAATGTGTTTGTCTGACCTTATATTCCAGTGTGTTGTCTTTAAGCCTTAACAGATTTCTTACAGCCATCCCCAATGTTATCAGTGTGAAATGTATGAACAAAACAGTTTGCTTGTTTTTTAGGCTCAATAGCAAAAACCCTCCTTCCATTAGCTGGATCTCTCCCATCTTAAAGCAGTACTGACCATCATTCTGTAGAAGCACCTTCCAAAGGAAAACAAGAGAGAGAAATGTATGGGTTTGTTTTTCTTCTTCCTCCATTCCTTCAAGTCAGGCCATCTTTTCTATTTTCCTTTATTTCCTCCTATTCTCCCCCCTTAGTTATGATGCTATGTGGATCTGAGGGAAAGAACATGTATATAACACATGTACAGCATCAAATACTGTAGCTGCCTATGTGGGATCTGTAGGCTTGCCAGTTCCGGTTATGGAAAAAGGAGGAGCCACCTTTTATAGCTGCAGTCATTCAGTGTGTTCCACAGGGGATTAATTTGTCCAATTTATTGTCTTGCACAGGTCGAGAAGCTGGAAGCGAAGAAAGAATTCTTTTTTCTTTGCTCTGTTGTTTCACAATTGATGCCTCAGGGTTACTGTGTGTCTGACACACGCAGAACATTTACATTTCCCTCTCCCCATTTCTTCCCATTGTGTCAACAATGGATGCGGTGGGAGATCAAACCAGTGACAGAGATGAGCTGCCTCCTCATTTTTCCTGGCTGAGAGTCGTGGATAAGTTGTTGCTAACCAACATCATCTGGTGTTACAGAAGGGAAAACAGTTAACAGCTCCCATTTATCCATAGTCTTATATCAATTATAATCTTTTATTCTCTTTGACCGCCCCTGCCTTTGACATAGTTGAGGCAGAGGGGAAAATGTTTGTTTCTAAATAAAAAACCAGTTGCTCTAAGAAAAGGTGCCCTACATAAACATGCATCAGGTAGCCTTGTTTTCCCACATCAAACCTATAGCTTGAACTCCCAGTGGCATTACTTCTACTGATGGTATCTTGGGAATGCTTTAACAGAAGACCAGCTCTGAGGTCATTAGGGGTGCTTCATGTGATGGGACTCTATGTCAGGGTAATTGCAAGTTCAACTGTTCCTCTGTTCAACACGCTCTAGCTAGCGCTATCTGTGCCAGCTATGGCTCTCCTCAGATCCCTTCATTTATCTGAGTTCTGCAGCTTTTCCAGTGGGCAATGGCAGAGTGCCATCATCTGTCATGAAGCTCCGCTGATAATCCCAGTATTGGCTAGAATTTCCTAGAATGTGGCTTTTTAATACAATTACCTTTCATGTTAATGTTCTTTCTAGGGGAAAAAAAAAAAAAAAAAAAAAAGACTTTCAGGTCAGCAGGCCTTCGCTCAGTCTTTCTTGAGGCAAGAGACAAACCAAAATTGACTGGAAGTTTATTAGAGTGCAGGCCTGCGGGATTTTGTCATTGTTTGCACCACTGAGTTTCAGAATTGCCCATCCCCTGCTGTGGGGATTTCCAGAGTCATAACTCTGGAGCAAAGACAGAACAACTCAGCAATACAAGCAAGTATGTAGTGATAAGGCACCGAAAGCTAAACACAGTTAAGATTTTGGCATGGAGAACAGGTTACTTGCCAAGTAGCTGTTCTGCAGTTGCTAGCAATAGTAATAGAGATCTCACTTTGTGATAGAAGCAAGATGACAAAACTACCTCTTTGCTTACCTCAGGCCAGAAAATAGTACCACAGCTCTTGGAAGATCTGAATCATGCCTTATCCATTCTTGTATATTCCTGTAGGCTTGCTTTATCCGCATGCCCTAAAGGTAAGTAAATTAATGATTTTCTTTTGTACTAAAGAGGATTACAGGTGAGGAATCGGGAAATACCGCTCCATCCAAAGCTCACCTGAGGCCACCTGTTTGTAAAAGCATGTAAGGAACTGCTCTGCTCAGAGTAATCCCTCTGGGAAGCTTAGGAGCAGGACTGAGTTGAAAGCGGCATTTTAAGTCCCCTTGCAGCAAGGAAAGCCTGTTGCTCTTAAACTGAAGTGCAGCTGTGTTTTGAGTACTTTGCTGTTGTGTATTCATGGGTTTTTCTTCTATAATAGGTATGTAACACTACTGATGTGGTTTATAAACCCCAGCTACTGAAAATGACAGTTCTGCGTTTAAGAAAGTCATCCTAGCAGGGGTATATATCCCCAGGGTGCTTATCAAAGAGGGGATGAGTACAGCCAGGAAAAGAACACAACTATGTATTGCCACTGAAGCAAATCGAGTGTCATATTTATTGCTTTCCTGTGATCTCGAGGCTAGAAAGTCAGAATACTTGTGCATCATTAATATGTTTATTGTGCAACTTAATAAATAAATACTCTTATCAAATGAAACTCAGCAGCTCCACAGATTAAGCTGTAGCTGACTGTACAGATAGAAGATCTAGAAGCAATACTGTACAACTCTCCTGTGTATGAGTGGACTTTCAATCTGACTTTTAAAATGCAGTGAGTTAGGGAGGCAAAAAGCTTAACATTTCCAGTACCTGGAGTTTATACCCATTTGAACTCTGTGGTCACTTAATTCCACAGACTACACTAGTGTTATGTGAGCAGAATTTGAACGTGATTTTCAAAGTCATCAGAAGAATTTTTTGGTTTCCTATAATCAGAGGCAAAGGCAGTCACCTTGTATCTCAGCTGTTGTTCAATCCATTGTGAGGACAAAGACCTACTGCTGCATATAGGGTGTCAGTTATAACTGAAATAATATTCCAATGTTTGTGTAGAAATTATGTATTTCTTTGCAATCTTTTGTAAATGAGGCCATAAAAAGGGAGTTGCCATGTCATTAAATGTATATGAACACTATACAAACATTTTATGTGATCATCAGTGTAAGTGGGGGGTTTTACCCAAAATTGTTTCCATATGGCCTTTTAGAAATTAGTCCTGTGCTAGCTGTCTTTCGGAAGTGTGTATTTACTGAATTACAACATAATTGACTTCTGATTCTTTCTATATACTTCATGGGTACTAAAATAAAGATTTTTATGTTTAATAGTTAAATAAAAATACCCATTTTCCTTTTTCTATAAAACACACTTGAATTCTGTGTTCTTATGTGATACTGTCATAATTTTTATACTTCCATTCTGAAGCAGCAATATCCTGCCACATGCAGGAATTATTCCTGGCTTCCCTCTGTATCCACTGGGAACAGGGACTTCTGTATCTATGACAGGAGAACCCCCCCAGTGTGACAAATATGCTGAGCAGAGCTCCTGAACAATGGAGCAGCCCTTGATAGAGTCATTTCTACCCAGCTGGACAAACCCCGCCTCACCAGAAAGGTCTTCTGACCATACTCAGCCACTGCTCTTTTCTTTCCAATTATGTTTATCAGCTATAAATGTTTTTGAGCTCTAATCACTACATTTGTTCCAACATTGAAAACAACCTCTCATTCACTCACCCCATGTATCTGGTTTTTTGTTCCAGAAGACACTTGCAGAAGTAGCGAAGTGATGTGAAGTGATCTTCCAAGATGACTCTTCTACCTGGAGAAAATTCCGACTATGACTATAGTGCCCTGAGCTGTGCTTCAGATACTTCCTTCAACCACACATTCTTTCCAGAAACAGAAACCCTTAAGGGAGTCTTTTACCAAAGAGCCAAGCTAATTCGCCCTCAAGAGGATCTCCTGAAAGGCTTTCACCCTGATGATCGGAAGCATCATATTATTATAAACGTAGGGGGCATTAAGTATTTGCTCCCATGGACCACGCTGGATGAATTCCCATTGACACGTTTGGGACAACTAAAATTCTGTAATAATTTTGATGACATTCTAAACATCTGTGACGATTACGATGTGACATGTAATGAATTCTTTTTCGACCGCAACCCAGGGGCATTCAGGACAATCCTGACATTTTTGCGGGTTGGAAAACTTCGGCTCTTGCGTGAGATGTGTGCACTGTCTTTCCAAGAAGAGCTGCTCTACTGGGGAATTGAGGAAGACAACTTGGAGTGGTGTTGTAAAAGGAGATACCTGCAAAAAATGGAGGAGTTTACAGAAATAAATGAACGGGAGGATGACCTCATAGAAAATGAAACAACAGGTGAAACGGTAGAGGAGACAAAAATTGGCTTGTGCATGAAAAAGTTGCAAGACATGGTAGAAAGGCCCCAGTCTGGCCTCCCTGGAAAGGTGTTTGCTTGTTTGTCTGTTTTATTTGTAACTATTACAGCGGTGAACTTATCCATCAGCACCATGCCTGACCTGAGGGAGGAGGAGGAAAAGGTAAGTTAGCTTTTCGGGATGGAAAATGGTATGTGCTGGGAAGAGCAGAACAAGGTCTGGTGGTATTGATTTCAATGGGGATTTTGCAGCTGTCTTTAGAGAGGGAAAATAACATGAAGACTGTTTGAAATCTTACATGGCTGTGTTCGATTACTTGTAAGAGAATTAATCATATGAAGTTGTGTGTCCAAAGAAAATTTTGTTAGTGTGCACTGTTCTGTACAACTGTGTATTACCTTGTTTAGCTTTGCATTTGCTATTTAGAAAGCCTGAAATTACCAAGCAATATCTTCTGTGGAATAAGTAGTTCCTTTCTAAGTTTTGCATTTAACTTGTTCCAATTTGTCAGTGTGTTTCCTCATAGCAACAGCTCCAATTCCTTTAATATTTCGGGTTTAAAAAAAACACAACACAGAAACCTCTCTTCCTGTCACTGTACCAACTAAAATAGTTATTATCCAGTGCCAATTACAAACTCCTCCTCTTTCCTGCAGGGTGAGTGTTCCCAGATGTGCTACAATATTTTCATTGTGGAGTCTGTCTGTGTGGCATGGTTTTCGCTGGAGTTCCTGCTAAGATTCATCCAGGCAAAGAGCAAGTTCGCATTTTTGCGGAGACCGTTAACCCTGATAGATATAATAGCCATTCTGCCATACTACATCACTTTGCTAGTAGACACCACTTCAGTGGGCTATAAAAAGCCCAGCTCTGGGAGCATCTACCTGGACAAAGTTGGTCTGGTCCTCCGTATTCTCCGTGCCTTGAGGATTCTCTACGTCATGCGGCTGGCCAGGCACTCCCTGGGGCTGCAGACGCTGGGGCTGACTGCTCGCAGGTGCACCCGGGAGTTTGGTCTCTTGCTGCTCTTCCTCTGCGTGGCCATCGCGCTGTTTGCACCGCTCCTCTATGTCGTTGAGAACGAGATGGCGGACTCGCAGGAGTTTACCAGCATCCCCGCGTGCTACTGGTGGGCCGTCATCACCATGACCACGGTAGGCTATGGAGATATGGTTCCCAGAAGCATTCCCGGCCAAGTGGTGGCACTGAGCAGCATACTGAGTGGCATCCTCCTCATGGCATTTCCAGTCACCTCCATCTTCCACACGTTTTCACGCTCCTACCTTGAGCTAAAGCAAGAACAGGAAAGAATAATGTACAGGAGAGCACAGTTCTTACTAAAAACAAAGTCTCAGATAAGCAATGCATCGCAAGGGAGTGACATCTTATTCCCCAGTATCTCTTCTGAGACTAGGGACAATGAATGAAAGTTAAGTTACTATTCCTCCTGATGTCAAGTAATGTTTTGTTGTATCAGATTCCATCTTTTAATTTGCTTTGAAAGCATTTTACAAAAGTAACCCTCATATTAAAATGAAGAAAAGGAGCTATTAACCAGGAACTGATGTGGTCTAAGAAGTCTATTATTATGCTGTTTCTTCCCCCCCAGTATAATGTATAGGACAGATCTTTCACTGAGATCATACAGTGGGATTTTAGGAATTAAAAGTTCTCTGACAAAAAAAAAAAGAACAACATATAATTATGTACTTGACAGGCTGTTTTGCTATTTGTAATACACATTTTTCCAACCGAATCACAATGTATATAATCATTAAACAGGCTGCCATTTTTCTTGTTCTTCTTATATATAAATAATGTAAATACAACAATTAATGGCTAAATTCTCTCCCAGAAATATGCCTTAGGGCATAATGGAAATAACCACAGATGTTTGTCCCGTTGTGCTCTTAAAAAACATTAAGAAAGACTTGTCATTCACAACAGCAACTGTATATTTGTTTGTAAGTCAGCCCTAAACATACCAGAAAAGAAGAATCAAGCTCTTTGTATCATAACCTTGCTCAAGATGTAAATACTTACAGCTCACCAGGTTCAAAATTTAATTGAAGTTACAGTGTTGATCCTATGTCATTGAATGCAGTATTCCCAGGAACAGAGTCGTTGAGTTTTGTAGCATTTAATATTATTATCAAGAGGTTACTAGCTGCAAATCAAATGAAATATGCATGATGAGATGCCAGTCGTTCCCTACCATCTGTTTCCATGTTTTTACTTTACCTCAGATATGAAACAGAATTAAAAGAGGCCTGTTTCCAGGGGACACCCTACCATTACTTGGCAAATCGATGCTGCGGCTACCCATTCACATTCAGCATTTGGTTCTTTAAAACAAGCAGAAAATATGTGGTCGTGGGAAGTTGCCAATGATGAAAAAAAAGAAAATATCATTTGAGTCATGGAGTGGAGGGGTACTGACAGCTTTATACTTTACTGTCCTCAATTATGAGGGACTTAAGACTTAATTAACTATACCTTTGCCATCATTACAGACATCACAGTAATGGAGAAAATTTTAAATAGGATATGAAATAAGGTCCCAAGACACAACTGTGTATTCTTCATCCACGCGTCTGTCCTGGTCTAAGTTAACTGAAGTCAGTGGGAGCACATGGTTCAAGGAGACACTCAGGTTTGGCACAGGTTTCTGTGGAGATTAATGACAGATCTCCCATTTATGTTAAAGGAAATGAGACTGGCTTGCATAACAGCTCAGGAGAGAAACTCCAGAACTTGAAAACATGAATTAAATACAATTGTTTGATTTCATGTGTGCTCAGAGGTAAAGAAAACTTATCTGAGGAGTTTCACCTTTCCCCCCCCCTCTCTTTTTAGTAAATTTACTTATTAACAGTTAAGAGCTAGGGAATTTTAGAAGTTCCCATTGTTTCACCAATGCTTCCCTATCCTAATTTTCAAAATTACTGTTTCTTATTGGCATTTCTGGAGCAGCTTGGTAGAAACGACAGAATGCATGATAGTTTTGTGATTTAAATTAAGGCCAAGGACTCAAACATTGTCCTTTGAAGAAAGGTAGAATTAGTTCCTCAGCCTATGCTGTTTGGCCAAGCCCATGTTATACTGGTTTTCTTTTCAAATTTTTTAAAATACAATTTGAAGGTGTTCTGATATACTTATTCTTAAAGAATAATTCCAAAACATTTTAAAATGCACTTTACAAATAATTAGGGCTCTCGCATTCTTCAGCCTGTCGTAGGTAAATATGCCTATGGAGCATTACTGCAGAGCACTAAAATACCCAGTCTAAACTCTTGGCAAGTAATTCTGTGCCAGAGCTACAAATGTAACCAGCTTTTCACTCTTGTTCTTCAGCTTTAATTAGACTTGGACAAAAAACAGGAACATCGTGACAAAAAAGGGACACATTTTCTATCCGAAATGCTCTTAATTTCAAAACTGTTTGATCATCTGTAGCATTGGCTTCAACACAAGTGCTATACATCCTTCTACCTTTGTGTCAGCATTCGTTATAAAAAGAACTGGTAATTAGATCAGTCCTGTGAGCAACAGTTGCTTATCGAAGAATGTGTTTGACAGGCTGAGCCATAAATAAGAAACTGCAAGTGATTATAAGGAGGAATCAAGACTTACCAAATAAAACCTAAGCTTATTTCCATGTTATGCTAGCTAATAAATGCTGGAGGTCTCTCCATTTTCTCAATGTCTTTACATTAAGTTAATGCTCATTTCATGTATCATTTATTTTTTATCCCAAAATTATAGCTTAATTCTAAAGTCCTTGTCCAGAAAAAAAAAAAAAAAAAAAAAATCACCCTGAAGTTGGGTGTTGGTTGAAAAACCCTGTGAAAGCATCTTGCCTGTTGCAAGTTCTGCCTAAGCCAGGAACAAATAAGCCATCCAGGATGTACCCCTATGTAGTTTTGTACTTGGCAACACATTACTTGTAAGCATATCAACGTGTTTTACTATGAATCACTGTAACAAACTTGCTTATAGTGTACAGGAGGTAGTACATACTGTAGTCCTTACGCTAAATAAATCCAGCTATAAGTCTTAAGAGCACAACACTAGTATGAAACCCACATGCTGTGTTCCAGCTTTTACTGTGAAGGCTGAGAGTCTAAGATGATTATGCCTCTTCACAGTATATTATCTGAATTTTTAGTCAAATTCACGAAAATTATGGACTGATTCAAAAGCTGACTGTTTCCAGTGACACAGCTGACAGCTACCAAGTCAACTTTCACTCCTTTTTTGCATTTTAACAGCATGTGCAGTCAACAAGAAAGTTCCAATAAAAACACTTTGTGCTTTTATGAAGTCAGAAGAATTGTTTGAATTGCCACTGCTAAAGTGGTGCATGTCTCCAGTAGAGATAGGCTTGCATTGCTATTTATATTATCCTCTGTATATGCAGTAATATGTACAGTATGAACTCAAACAGCAGTAGCTGTATTAATTTGGATTAATAAAGTGTTAGGCTCTCCTTTCATTTTCATGTGCTTCTTACAGTATAGAAAGACTGTCACACGTGCTATAGGCATGCTTGACAACCTGGGGTCAATATGAGAAGGGAGTGGCAGCTAAGGGAGAATCTGGGCTATGAGCACTGTGAGCTGAAGCAGGCTGGCTGCGATGGAAAGCATTTACTAGGAAAGAAAATTATCTCAGTATAGAAAAATCTAGGTACCAATTCAGCAGCTTCTATAGGGAAACCTCTTTCTTGCATGTTGTCCCAAGGATCACAATCACAGTTAATTGGGACATAACTTTAAAATATTTTAACCATTTAACCAAAGAATCTAACAGATTCAGAAAAGAACAGGAAGATCCATGAACATTGAGAAAGAGAAAAATCCCTGATAAAATCAGAATTTCCAGGTAAGGTGGTATATTAAATTACTTTCTCCAAAATCTTTCCCTCCTCCATCCTCCTTCCTCAAAAACTATAGTGAAACCAACAAAAATCACCAGGTGAGTGCAACACTGATAAGAGTTGAAGACAGAGCCACAAGGCTTCTCTAACTGTACATCAAAGAACATAATTTGCAAGGTGAGTTGGAATAATTTGTATTACACTAACATTCATTCCAGGTCAAGGTCTTAGGGAAATTTCTCTTGGAATATATAGGACTTGTCTCCATTTGTCCCTTTATATTTTTTCCACCGTAATTCAGTACTCCAGATTTCCCCAGTCAGAGGCTTTAGTAGTGTCATTGAATAGTCAGTCTTTACCAAAGTCCAATTAAACAATAAAAAAATCACGCAGAACTGAATCATGGATTTATGCATCATCAGATGCCCATCTGGGAAGGAAAACTGGCATGCTCTATACATTCATGACTTGTGTGGGTAGAGTTTAACTGGGTATTCAGGCTGATGCAGAAGCAAAAATTTTTGCTGTAGAAGATTCTCATTCCTACCGCTATAGCTCTCCTCTGTAACTAAACCCAAAGTTTCGTAGGAATCTCTGTGAACAACAGCTTTCTGCTCAAACAATCCTTTAGACTACAGACTGAGACTCGGAGTAAAAATTCATCTTAGGCACTTACCAAAATGCCTGAAGCAGCAGCCTCGTCAAAAGATCTGCATCACCACTGGGAGATATGTAGTCTTCTCTATTTTATTTTTCTTCTAATAGAGGGAGCCTAGAATGAACTAGATCCCTAATTCAGTTGTCACATTAAAAGGCCAATGTCAGCATACGTGGAGTCTTAGTCTTCAATTGCACAGAACCACCAATATCTACCAGCACTAACTCCACATTATTTGTCCTTTCCACATCTGATTCACTGTATGTGAGGACCAAGGAATATGAAGCAGCCCAAAGAATGCAGATCCAGAGAGGTCAGCTGGTTCTTAGACGGAATCAGTTTGAAACAATGAGACAGCGGCAAATATAACAGCTCTTGGCAGCTCATGCCGGACTGTAAAATAGCTGTGTTCCATACAATTACTGATTTTTTTTGCTTGGATAAGAAAGAAAGACTAGTAAGTTAAAACGAGAGGAAAGGAACAGATACTTCTCATAACAAAGCTACAAAATTTCACATCCCTCTCTTGGGTTTGCAGCAGGCTGAAAACTGGACTGGATAATCCTAAACCTGCACAGATTTAGTTGACTGCATTTAATCAGAAATTAAACAAAAAAGTGACAACTGTGACATTGATCTCTGCTCACACATCAGCCGGTGACATTAACCCCTAACCTGTTCAGTTGACTCTGGCCCAGGTGTCAGAGACTTTCACAGTTTTCACATCCATTACTCACCATTTTAATTTATGTCAGTAGTTGCTACAATAGTATATTGCCCAGTTTTTTCTGTGTTAATAGTTCGGTTGGCTACCTCATGCAAGATTTGACAAATTACATTTTTCCAAAAAATGATATGGGTACGAAAAATACGGGGGGAGGGGGGTGGAA